GGATATAGACCACACATTCTATCCAGGACGTCTGCTCGTGCTCCCGAGGCGGTTGGAGCTGCGTGGGGCTTCGGAATTGGAACCAGATCTGCCGAAAGGGACTCCAGTTCGGAGTTAGGAGTATCTTCGCGGTACCCCCAGGTTCCCTGCTAAAACCCGCCGCGGTACCCCAGGATTATACAATGCAAATCGTAGGTTCTCCCGTGAGTGTTTCGAATATTCATGGGCTCCTCGAAATGAGGCGAATCTTCTCGACCTTACGCCGAGGATCCTTGCTCCACTCTCTTCCCCCGTGAAGTCTTCCACACCTACGGCCACTGCCGAGTATCGATGACTGACCGAGTATCCCATTTATGCCTCGAGGACACTGATTCATCTGTGAGCAGCCTCAGAACAGAGCTCTGCCTCCGAGAGATCGCTCCAGCGGACTCGTCGAGATTCCGCCGAGTCAGTCTTTATCGACGCGGACAACTTTTGTCAATCAAGCAGGAGTCTCCCTCGACTGATATCCCGCTCCCCAAATCTCTGTCGGGCGTTAACATTTGATCCGAATTAGGTAACCATCACGACTTGCCTAACTCGGAATCTCCTAATGCACCCTGAAGGGACGATCCGTCATCGAGCACAATCGACCATGGGCACTAGTCGATCATGGAGACAGATATCGGTGCCGGAGTCCTCCACGAAGACGGTTCGCTAGAATATGGAGACATATCATGCGGAAAAAAGGCGACGCGGAGGAAGCAGCGAAGATCTTCGACATGAAGGCCTGGTTCTCGTGACAGAAAAAAAAATCTCAACTCGATATGATCCGGGGATTCATTCTCCGATCCATGAACCATTCCGAACCAAGTTTTGCTCGAGTAGGTAAGTACTTCTTCAGAGAATGGTCAGCGGATCTGTCAGGAGAAAGGCGGGAATAGTATCGGATAGAGGAGCCTCATCTCGAGTTTCGTGGACGAGTGACACCTTGAATGGAGTTTCGATGTGTTTTTTTTTCAAAGTCAGACGACGCGTAATGAAAACGGATGGAAGTGGATCCCGAGCGCAGAATCGACCAAACTCCCCAAACTACCTATCTTGCTTCCGCGCCAGAAGCGGGGCGGGAGCCTCCGCTCATGTAACAGTCGTCATCATGAATTTTACATGAGCGCACCGGGTTCCGTGAAAGAGGCGTCACTTACAGCGTTCGGTTACCGTTGCTACCAGAAGAGGAAGGTGAACGTCAAGCCAGTGCGGAGATCTCATCCTACAGGGTTAGCTCGTCGTGTTCTGCTCGTGCCGAAGTTTCGGTGAGTCCATCTCGAATTCACCGATCGCCTCGATCTGGTACCTTTCCCTAGATCTGCATGTGAACCGCGAAAATCTGTGTCGCTTCAATAGGTTGTGTCTGTCCCGACCGCCGACTCTCGCAGCTGATGTCCGATTTGAGCCGATTCGCTGCTACGCGTATTGGAGGCTTCTACACCGATGCCGAGTTCGATGTCGGCAAATTTCACTGCGCCGATGCGATGGCTGAATCGAACCTTCCGCTCTCGAGGGCTCTGTCGCGGGTTCCTGACATACGTTCCGAGCTTCATCATCGCCGATTTTCTGGCGAAACATGGTTGCCTTGCGACATTCAGGAGTGCGCCTCTCCTCGCGCCCCAGCGTTGCGTCACACTGACGTGACAAAGATTTCCGTTCTAATTGAATGAGTTTATCGACATTTGAGCGAGAAATAATGCGCAGACGGGAGCTCAGACGACGCGACGTCAACAACTCGCTGAAGCAGGCAACCGTTATTGCACTTCACTAAAGCTCAGGTTTCGCAACGAGCGATGGTTAGTGGATCCGGACAACGGACTCTCGAAGCGGGAAGGGAATCTCTCTCGAGATACTGCACAAACCCATGCTGTCCCTCGACAGAAGTTTCCCGCGCGATCGAGAGAGTTTTTTCGAAGGGACTGTCAGGCGATGAACTGTGGCCGTAAAGTACTCGACAAGAATCAATTATGGTTCGACAGAGCTTCTCGAATTTCGGTCATGATACGAGTCGAAGAGCGGTATCCTTGACACGCACTATTCCGCTATGATCAGAGAAACATTCCGTTGCTGGCACTCCCGACCTTGAATGGTGAAAATTGGTCCAATGAGCTATTGTTGTCAGGAAGGATTCGGGAAGAAAGAACGAACATCGGATCGCTCTTCTACCGTGCGAAGAAGATCGTTAGCTCATTATTCTCAAGATCAGAGTGATTCGACGGAGTGGGGGAGCGTCTCCGATGGAAAGCCTTTCGTTGGCGCCGCGCCTTGGTAAGACTCAGAGGCTACCTCAGATCTGACGGGGGCAGACCTCTCGTGTGTCGTCGATTTTCCTTAGCGCAGTCGCCGCATCGTCTGAGATGCCACCTTGTAAATCCTCTCATATGCATGCGCTGGAGACAACTCTGCGACGACGAACCCTCTCCTGACTCTCGAAAAAGTTTCAGCCTGCCAGTAGTCGAGCGACTCGGAGACAGTCGCCTCGCGTTCGACATCATCGCATCGCCTCCCTCTACGGCGAGCTGCTGGTAGTGGTGTCGCCCAGCTTTGGGTCGAGCTTTTCTCGGTCTAGCCGCAGGCCTAGTGTCGCCTTACTGCACGTTTTGCCAATGTGTCGGGTACAATGACGGCTCTCCAGGCGATTTTTCAAGCTATCTTCGTGTTCAGCTGCCTCCAGAAGGGTAAGTCGAGTTCGTGTTCACGATCTCCTGAAGAACACTCTGTAGACTGCGCCTCTCATTCCGGAGAGCTCAGAGCGAACGCTCATCAGGTGTTCCGGACGGTCTGGATTTTGTCCGGGAATCATCCTATTGCGCCCATTCGGAGCGAGCTTCAGCGACACGGAGACCGCAGCTCGCAGTTTCGATTAGAGGCCCATCTGGCCGACCTCACCTTCTAGATTCCGACTACCGAGAACGATGATCATTCAATCGGGATCCAGGCCCTTCGCTCGCCCCGCACCATGAGGACATTTTCCTCGATACCAATATGAAGTGTTCTCCATCTTCATGATCCTCGGTGATTCCCCCGCCTTCGTGGGAGGCAAGAGTCCATCACTGTTCAATCAACACATAAATATAAGTGCATGAAAGAGCTGACAGACTGGGATCAACAGAGGGTCAATATTTCGTTGGGCCTTCCTTCGCTGATCGCCACACGCGATGATGAACCCAACGCCGCATCACTGATTGGAGTATCCGAACGGACTTCACAGCAAAGAGCAAAACTAGACGGGTTTCGAATATTTTTGTGAGAACCACTGTTTTCGTTTCGGCCAATAGCATCCCGGGTCACAATCAAGAGAAACCGACGCGGCTAGCACTGTATAACCCAGTCCGTGTTCGGACGTCTAAACGGACAAGCTCCCTTCAGGGAATAGCCTTGGCTACTTATAATAATATTAAATGTTCCTCCGAAGATGACGATATACGCTCTGAGCTATGCGAGCACCGAATGACCCGTCGCGTCGTGATTTTTTCGCGCGGGATCACACGAACTTCGGCGCTTCCCTGCCGGTGTGACTGCCTGCTCTCGGGCTCCAGTGAACCGAAATGTACCTTTCTCGGCAGTGCTCTTGTATTTTGCCATTCCCGATCCGCCTTCCCCCGCAACTTCGAGCGGGTGAGATTCTCACCAGAACGCACAGCAGCACTTCAGGTGAACCTCAGTAATCGGAAGTCCGCGGGAGAGAAAAAGAGGAAATCGGGAATCTTTCAAGACAGTCCGCAAGCTCAGAAACTGAGGTATCCTCCGCGGAAGCTCCCCGAGGATTGGATCTAGCGGAGACTAATATTCTTCCGAGCATCATTATATACAATACGATCTTGCGGAATATTCGCATCGATGTACCTACCGCGGAAGGGGAATAATTTCCGTTCATTGATTGCCTCTCTTTCTCTCCAATGATTCCGGGGAGTTGTGACGTTCAACGGTCCGTGCCCTCAAAGAGAACGCCAATATTTTTCACTGTCACCCTGAGTCACGCGACAACACGACACAGACATCACTTCCACCACAAGTGTTTTCCACAGTTTGAGAAGATCCGCCTCTTTGTCTGGTTTCGGTTTTTCTTGTTTTTGTCCCTGACAAGAGCCAGTTGCTCGACTGGCCCGTCGTGTTCATATATCACGGACGAGCTGGCAACACAGACCATTTTCCGGACAGTCCCTCAAAGAAGCGCTTTAATTGGAGTGTCTAGCGAACAATCTCTGTTCTCCGACTTTCCGGAAGAGGAAGAAGTTTTGGGCAGCCTGCGAAATTGATGTAAAAACTGCCCTTCTCCGAGGGGTGTTCTATTCCACGCTGTAATTAAGATCCAGGGCCGGAGAGGTAGTGGCCCTGTTCGGACTTGGTTTTGACATGGCTCCAGTCACCTTCTCCGGAATATTCGTATCTAATCTCATCAAGGGACTTGGAGCGACATACGAACCACCCGCTGAACCTGAGTGTCATCCGCTTAAATTTGTTCACATCAGCGATCGTCGTTGGTTGAGAGCTCTCGAGAAACGCACTTTCGCTTCATGCTTCATCCAACCGATCGAGAATTGGACAATGTTCTGAGTTGTGAGGCCCGGCCTATGAATGCGTTACCGCATAAGGATGTCGCAGCTTACACTCTGGATTCATTTGTCGATTTTGCTTCTACTCCCTCATTCGACGCTTTTCTATGAGTTAGTGCACAAAGCTTTCCCCACGGTGAGGCGCATCTCGAAAGTCTCCGGATGAGTGGATCACATTTTAACGACTCGATGATACCCGAGCCGATGGTCGTGTCACTGAACGAGAAATTGATCACCGCAGACTGAGCACCGCACGTCGGTGACGCGCTCGAATTTGTAAGACACTGGATCTGGTCGACTGCCGATGCGATCCAGATAATGCCGCGCAAGTCTGGATCGAGACAATAATAATTATTCAACGGGAAATTTCCGATGGCGTGAGGGACTCATGCACCTAATTCTACCCCCACCCCCTAGTTGCGAGCATCGACATCGTGCGTCTTCTCGTGCCCAAACTGGTTGAGGATGGCAAGAAAGGCCCTTTCGATCTGGAATGCAACTATCGCTGCGGTGAAGGCGATGAGCAGCTTGTCGTGAAATGGTTCTTCAACAACGAAACAACACCTTTCTATCAATGGATAGCCGGCGTCGGAGGTAAGTGGGAGAGAATGATGTGCTCTTTCTGTGTTCTTGATGATTGTTTACAAAGAAGACTGTTGCGAGCTTCCACATTTTCGACTGACTGATAAACAGAAGCGACTCAGCCAGCCTAAACGACATGATCGAGAACATTCGAACAATCCCCGTGACTGAAATTCATCTGATCGAAATTATTATCATGGATACTGTATACCACATTCGATGGGCGTCGTTTTATCCTCTGAGCTCGTGGAAATTTTCTCTGAGCAGATATGAGCGATCGAAATGATGAAAATGTACCCTCATTCCGCGAAATCTATCAGAAATATTTCGTGGATTCGAGCTCGGAATTCGTCCACATCTGGACTTAATCTTCGGCCTTCAGCATCTCATAGAATATCCGTCGAGTACTTCCTCCCCACAATGTCGTGGATGACCGAGCGCGTCCACGAGGAAGTAGGGATCTCTGACTCGAACCTTCCGATCTCACACACACTTCAGGCACTCTCGACTCGACCTCCAGCGAGTCCATCACGATCGATACGTCAGTCTCATGACAATCCATTAGAGCTCGCTTTCCCACTATAGAATGCTCTTCCTCGAGAGGCCGTATGTAGCAGGAGCGAGCCAGATCCTGAAGCGATCATTATTTGCAGAGCCAATCATCTCGGGAGCGTATCATCACAAGTTCTCTTTTGAGGAAGACAAGCACGCCGACACCTGCAATAATAAGGCGAGTTCCTGTTGAAGAGCACGCTCCAGTGAGGTCATCAACTCATCACATCGAATTATAGAGATTGCGGACGGTCTGATGATAAGGAGAGCGAGAAACTTGAACTATGTTGTCAGTCGATCCCGATGCAGGGGCGACGAGATGGCATGTGTCTTCTTTGTCGACTCGATGGGAAGCTTGAGCCTTATACTCAAGGAGCGCGATTCGCTCCCCAGGTGTCTTATCGACTCATCCTCACCGAGCCGCAGGTGGCGATGAGCGGACTCTACAGATGCGAAGTCCAAACATTCGATTCTCAGGATAGCGCTGAAGCCAACATGGTGGTATTCTGTGAGTAAACTCGGGTGGCAACTGATTCAAGCGAGAATTGATACGAGCCCCCTCGTGGAGAAGATTGTCGCTCGATGAGACGGACTCATCTTTTCAGCGCCACCGCGAAATTTCAGTCTTGTGATCAATGAGCCATCTCCGGGAACTCTCGCGGTAAGTATCGACTCGCATTGCGACTAGGATCCGCTGCGTGGCTGAATTCGTATAGGATGCTCATTCTCGATATCATTCGTGCAGGCGAACTGCACGGTGTCCCCCGTATATCCGATACCGGAAATGAAAATTCTCCTGATACACAAAACGGACAAGGAAGAACGTCACCCCTTCGAGGACGCTAATATCGAAACCGAGGAACTTGAAGGACGTGTTCATCGAGTAGGGTTCCGCTCGAGAGGGCTCATCCTTGATCCTCGATCATTTCAAGTCATCTTATGAGAACCGGCAAAAGACACCTTGTAGAATTGAGTCGCATATCGACGTTTTCCCAGGTGTCTCTGATCATGCAGTCAACAAACACAACGCTATTTGAAAGGCAGCAACTCACCTTCGAATGCGTAATGGCTTTCAAGGAGGTCAAATACCAAAGGTTCCAGAGACAGGCTTACACTCCAGGTGAGCACGATCTCCCCGCTCTCACATCGAGACCGGCTGTATAGAAATCAATATGAAGGCACGCGTGAACGATAACCCTATTTCCACAGAATACAGCCCTCCGAAGAAGAAACCGAAAATACTTGCCCGTCTCCCCGGGGGACAGTCATCATCCTCGGACTCCGGGAACGCACTTCATTCCAAAGCGCACATAGTTCTAACTTCTCTGACCTTGTGGATAAGCTTGAGACTATCTGATGCTCACCGAGCAGTGTTGTAAATATTATAGACCCGATAAAGTTGGGAAATATTTTTCTCATGATCCGAATCAGAATGTGACGGATATCTGGTACCGAGAATAAAGCAGGGAACATTCAACCCCCTGATAATGATCTGTTCATGGAATCGTATCTGGGGAAGCGATGATTCAATCGAAATAAATACTTAGCCCCTCTCGAGTTACTCGATTAAGTACCACTCAGACATTCGATTTCTCTCAGACTATGTTAGAAGGCGACAGCAGCGGTTATCCCGGAGCCGAACTGACTCACTCCCGCTCATCAAAGATCATCGACAGCATACGGTAGACCTGCATCCTGCATCATTATTTGTACACGAGCCGGGAGGGCGCTCCGCGCCCTCGCGGCTCAATTGCCCGCACGCCGGATGCGATTCTATCCAAGGCCCGAGCGAGTTTGTCGAGTGATTACGACGGAAAGCGTGATACCGATTCGCAATGAATGAGTACGACACCAAAGAGCATGAACACATGAATTAGCATGAGAAAAATGATGCGATGCTTTCGCAGGCCTGAACGAATTTGTCGTGAGTAATCGGCAGTTATTGTTCTGAGGAATATATGATATGGAGATTCCCTTTGTCCGATGTATGCCTATCTGATATCTGAATGATAGCACGACGCATGAGCATTCACAACTGTGCTTACAGTTTGGAATCTCTATTCACGGGTCGATTCGCGGGCGAATTGAAGCAACGCCTCCGACTTATCTTGGGCATGGCGAATTCAATGAGGAGACCTCTGAGCCTCGTGACGAAACTCCACAGATCACAAAAAACCACTGCTTAGGTCTCTCGTACTTGTCGCTGAATCTCTCGAAGAATGTAGGCAAACCGCGCGTGAGTCCCAAAGTTCTTTTTGTCGAAGATGTTCACGACAGAAAACTCTGATTGGAGTTCAAAAAGATATATGGATGCAGAGTCGGACTCTCCCATCGCTCCCATGGAGCAGGAGAAATGATTGCACAGTAATGAAACAGGTGAAATATATGGGCATCGCTTATCAGATACGCTAAAGAATTATAGAAGAAATTTTGGAAAGCATTACGTTCGATCTCGTAGCTCTCGATTCTCCTCTGATGATCGAGTGGAGAACCCGATATTTGGTTCAATGCCGGACGATATTACTGCTTTATTCTATAGGGGGAGAAATTATCATTATCAAATTAGATCATGCTGAAATTAGTAGGCTGCTGCGACGTCTCTCGAATCGCGCGCCTTGCCGGAACGGTCGTGGCATCATGTGGAGAGAAGTGGTGGAGAGGATTTCGTTTCCAGCGAACACTGGAGAAAAACTTGATAATTTTCCGGAATAACTCGAGAACGATGCGATTGATCGAGTGGAAAAGTACTTCTTACGCTAGCGGGAATGATTCGGCATCGAGTCAAAGTAACTTGAAGTCTTTTGACAGACAAATAACCCCGATATTTGGTACAATGACGGACCGACATTACTGCTTTATTCTATAGGGGGATGACAGGCCAAGAGGGGGTACAGCATCATTGAGCCCCTTAGTTTTTGTGCTGAACTCTCGGATATTACCAGCGATTCTTTCAGCGCAATTCGAGGCGCCCCTTAATGAGGCATTTTTCCTTCGGAGCATTGAGAAACCCCGAAACACTCCAAATGTGGAAGACTTCCGCCCATTAAAACATAATCGACGGACCTCAGAGATTCGAATTCGAATCGAACGAGCGAGAAGAGTGAGCACAGTGAGCACATAGTCTGTCACCTGTCACCTGAGAGTGAAAAAGACACTCGGTGAGAAGATCTTGATGAAAACCCGATGATGGCGTTCTACTTCGTGTTCATAGTTTTCTGAGGCCTACATCCGTGAATCACGCCCAGTGACGTATCCATTGATTGTCTGTTCGTTTGTTTGTTTGCAGGCGGCATAACTCACCTTACTGCCACTGCTCTTCCAATCCGAGAAGGAACGATCGTTTTCGCGGAGCCAGCCCCGGAACGACTTCTACCGAAATGGCTCATTTCCAAAATCCTTACGGACAAGCGAACCCACAAATTCAAGCAATGTTCGCTGCTGTCGACAAAGATCGTTCGGGTCAAATCACCGCGAAGGAACTGCAGGCGGCACTCATCAACTCTAACTGGTCCCAGTTCAATGAAGAAACTTGCCGTCTCATGATCTCGATGTTCGATCAGGACAACAGCGGAACTATCAATGTACAGGAGTTTGAGCAAGTTTACAATTACATCGACCAGTGGAGGAAATGCTTCCAGGGTTTCGATCAGGATAACTCTGGGAAAATTAGTGCCGATGAGCTCCACCAAGCTCTGCAATCTTTTGGCTACCGGCTCTCGCCGCAATTCTCTCAAATGCTGGTCCAGAAATTCGATCGTGTGGGAAGATCTTCCGTGGAATTCGATGCCTTCATCCAGGCCTGCGTAATGCTCAAGTGTCTCACAGACTCGTTCCGCGTGAAAGACGTCAATCAAACCGGAACGATTCAGATTGGTTACGAGGAGTTTCTCGAGCTCGTGTTCAGCAACGCCATTCACTGACGACTATCGTCGACTTACTCCGAAAAAAAGTACAAATTCCCCACGCGACTCGAAGCCGGCCGGCGGGAAATCGCATGCGTTATTTGATGGCTATCATCGTTCCCGTAAAATGAATATATGGCTTATTGGGATCTGTTGTCGATTAAAGAAGAAGCGAGAATTCAGAGAGGCATCCAGTCTGGATTCCTCGGTCTCGCACATTGTGGCTGATATGCTTCACCCATACACTAATGTCTGGCGATGATGCCCGAGTCCTTTTCTGTGGGAGGGCCAGTGAATAAACGCCAGAATCTCCCAATCGCCGGGATCGTCGACCATATGTGTACTCCTGACTTTCTTGTCTAATCCATCTGGGTCGAATTGGAAATACCTGAGACCTTTTCAGCCGATCGAATAAAACGCGGCAGGTGAAGGCTTTGAAATAATCTTGCCTGTTATCAGATCGACCTCAACTACATCGTTGAACGAATGGATCGAATCTCGTAAGAATTGTCTGTTTTTGTGAGTCGTTTCATTCTGCAGCTTTGATCCCGAAAGAGAAAATCTCGGCGATGCGATTTTCGCCTTGGAATGCCCACCCTTCAGTGGAAGCCGGTTACCCAGCCGACTTGCTACCCGGCCGAAGGGGTTGTTCCGCGGCTGAAGCGGTTACGCTTGAGATCGACTTCTTAGGCTGAAATCGGGCCTCCGAGTGAAGAAAACATAGTCATCCATTCCGATTCTATGATTCTAGGCCTGAGGGAAGCGAATCGTGCCGCTCGCGGACCGAGTATATATGTATAGGACGCATGAGTACCATACTTTTATCGATAGACATCGATTTGCTTTGGCCTTAGGCGTGGAGCACGATCGAGGTGGACCGGCTCGGATCCGCGAGTCAACAATGCGGTGGTACTCCTTTCTCTGTACGTTGACAAAGACATACTGCAAAAGGTTGGCAAGTTTTCTCATTCAGGGATGTAAACTTTCCGCGGCCAAATATCGCTAGGATCGCGGCGAGTCGCGGGGAGGAAGCTCGATATCCGCGAAAATCCCGGAGCTCCGTCGAGTTCGCGGGAAATCGTAGCAGCTCCGAATTCGCGGCGAGAGCGGCTCCCGTGAAGAAATTATAAGCGTTGTAAGTTCGACCCTCTTGGCGAGTCTTGATCCGGCCGATCTTCGCAGAGAATCGTCAGGAACCGCAGCTCCCGCTAATCCCGCGGTCGCCGCGAAAAATTGACACTGCTTAGTTTCATAAGAACTCGCGAAGAAACCCTTTTCGACTCCAATGCCGAACCTTGACTGCAGCACCACCTGGCGGTGACCGCGCCACACGTGCTGTTGTTGGGAGTTGTTGTCACAGAGTCTCGAAACGAGTCGGCAATCAGCTGATACACGGCGACATTGTAATCGCTTGCACAAGGAACCAGTGTGCTCATTTTTGCGAAGACTTGCGGATCCGGTCTAGTTGTTCGTTGGATGTTCGCTAACGCCAGGTGGCTCCTTAGAAAACGTATAATGGATCAAATTAGAGATGTTCGAATTGTTGAGTGCAAGGAGTCCGTGTACGTGAAGCCCTACCGCCTCGAGTTCACTCAGGTTAGATCCTCCCCGACGTAATGGTTCCAGAAGTATATCGAGTTTTGTCAGGCAATCCGATGAAGCAGGAATATAAGTTCCCCTTCCCTCGAATAAGCATTGGAGAATTTCTGATTCGCTCATTCATCTTACTTGTGGACAAGTCTCAATTGTATCCGCACGAATATTTGACCCCTGCGAGGGCGCTCGCTACCGCTCGATTACCCCGAGGACCTTTGTATACCTTCCAGAACGGCAGGAAACGCGCTTGGGACCTATGCAAGACCCACGACAGTGTCGCATGCGTCGTTTACAATAGTTCGCGCGAGAAACTATTGCTCGTCAGTCAGTTCCGTCCCGCGATTTACATGAACCGTATTCTCGAGAAAACTTTTCCGATAGACACCACGAAATACCCTGGGAGTCTCGGTCTGACATTAGAACTCTGCGCTGGGATCACGGACAAGGATAAGAGTCTGGAGCAGACTATGCAGGAAGAGCTAGAGGAGGAAATCGGCTACAAGGTTCCCCTGGACAGAATAAGCAAGGTGACTATTGACACATGGTCGGAGTGATTAGATATCTCTGTACTGAACCCATCTTCCATTCGTTGCAGCGCAATCTAGGCCCCGAATAGGTAGATGCTTCGTTTGGACGATTGGACGATTGGGCGATTAATTGAGTCCGAAACTTGATGGAGGGATGCTCTTTGGCAGATAACTTCCTATCGTTCAGGAGTCGGAACGCAGGGCGCGTGTCAAACCCTGTACTATGCGGACGTGAAAGATGAGGATAAAGTTTCCACCGGTGGAGGGAATGAATCTGAGGGTGAGATGATTCAGGTACGTTGATCAATTTGAAAGTTACTCAGGGAGGAGGGATCGGAGATCTGATTCCGAGGTATCTTCAAACATTTTCTTCCAGGTCATTGAACTGTCAACCGACGAAGCAAGGAACGTCATCTTCGACGAGTCTGTGATGAGGACACCCTCGATGTTATTCGGACTCCAATGGTGGTTTGCGCATAAATTCGATAAACGATAGGCTCGACGGAGTTCACCTGATCGAAACGCGGCTCCAGACTCGAATGAGCACGGTCCCTCGAGCGGAGGGTAACTTTCGACGCTTCGAAACTGCATGCTTGGCTGCAACGCTTCGATCACAGAAATCGGTGCCCGGAAACTCAGACTCGGATCTTTTTTCTCCTTCGTCACGGTGCAATGGACTTTTATGAATTCTTGTTCTTGTGCATTAACACAGATCGGGTTGAAATACAGCGAGCCTGGATCTTTGATTACCTATGCATCTATTTCTTGGGACAGAATCGGAATCTATATTCCGGGACATCGTGGATTTCAGGCCTATAGTTCTCCGGCGCAAGAAATTCAGGCGAGAGCTTTCTTCCTACCAATCGCTCGCGTCTGCTCCTTGGCGATGTCCAATACGGCTTTTGGTCCATTTTGGAGGGGTTCTCGGCTTTCAGACTGCATCTTTCAGGATTTCCGCTCTGTGGTGGATTACCGGTGTCGCAACTTTGCGTCTTTTCTAACGCAAGGGAATCGTCCTTCGCGGTTGACATCCGGCGCTCCTCGCTGAGTCCGGGAACGGATTTGACTTCTGAGGATGGGAAGCTCGGAGAGGGACGGTAGATTCCTCTCGATGATTCAATTCTACCACGGTCGTCCCGCGATGACGGGCAAAGCTTTTCTATGAGCTCGCTACCATCGTTCTGTGTGATGAGCCCCGTCCCCTGTGCTCCATAAGGTTCGGCTCGCTCCAAGTATCCGATCAGAGACAGACGTTTCTTCGCTCTTCTTCACGGAATCAGGACCCTCGATCGCAGATCTATCGTAGAGTGACAGTTTCCTTGGAGATCCATGCATCACTTTGAGGCTTCGAAGTTTTTCGACGGTATGCCCGCGTTGGGGAGCTCGGGAAGGGTGGGAGCCGCGAAGCAAAGGAGAACGTGAATCCCCAAGTGCTCTTGCTTCAAAATCGGGCCGTTGCTTCCTCTTCCTCGATTCCGACCTCTCTTTCCCCGAGGAGGATCCGTAGACAAATCCGCTGCTGAGCGCGGAGCCGTGCTATCCTCGCAATCTCTCCGGTGCCCGTCGGGAAATATCTGTCGGAAGTTCCATCCCCCAGAATTTTCAGCGCACGAAGGTACAACTGTGCAGGCATCCCACCCCGATGGTTGCACTTCCTCAGAGAGGCGTAATCTCAGCTTGAGTCTCCCTGGTAGCTAAGCCGGGTCCTGATTTCCATCTTCCGTTCTCGAGGATTGAGACCATTCTTGGGAATTGTTGGCACATCGGGTTCTAAGCGCCGGCGCCGTGCCGCTACGAAGACTCCGAATTGAGCCTAGCGATTAAACACCCGACATCGAAAATGTGGGCGTGGGATAGTGCGCAGTGCCGGGCTCGATGGCTATCCGAGGGAAGCGGCTGAGTAGAAGAGGGGGACACAGTGGAAGGGGTGAGCGGGAATTCCGGCGAGTCAACGCGAAAATCTGAGGATCCTCAGTTCGCCTTGGAGAACTGTACAGATCAAGAAGCCGGATATGTAGCGGGAAACTGGGGGGAGAAGAAAATCAACGAGAAGCTCAGCTAATCTGGCAGGAACTTCGGGAACCAGCAAGAATCTCGATGAGTTAGAGAGAAACACTGCGAACCAGTGAGGAGCACTGCGGTTCGGTGAGAAACACTGCGAACCACTGAGGAACGCTGCGGACCAGTGAGAAACACTGCGGACCAGCGAGAAACACTGCAGACCAGTGAGAAACCGAGCAGACCAGTGAGAAACACTGAGGACCAGTGAGAAACACTGCGGACCAGTGAGAACACCGCGGACCAGCGAAGAACACTGCGGACCAGCGAAGAACCCTGCGGACCAGCGAAGAACCCTGCGGACCAGCGAAGAACCCTGCGGACCAGCGAAGAACCCTGCGGACAAGTGGGAGACACCCCGGACCAGCGAGGAACACTGCGGGCAAGTGAGAAACATCGCGGGCTAGCGAGAAACGATGCGGACCAGTGAGAAACAATGCGGACCAGTGAGAGACTCTGCAGACCAGTTGAATAAGTTTCGGAAAGCTCGGTGAACCAGTACGGAAATCAGCCCTCCTGCTCACGGTCCCGTGGGAGATACTTCCGCTATTCGAGAGACATGTCCGCTTCTTGAACGGAAGCTATGACTGTTGTGATGATTGAATATATTCCGAGGTTGGGTTTCGCGCGAAATGAATGAACCTAAGAGATCCGATACGCCAATTATTATTATCGATTCGGAGAAGTCCGTCTGATGGGAATGGTCGAGCACAACTTAAAGCAGGGGTCTATCTCGTTCGCTCGCGGGGTCCTTGGTCCGGAAGCGAGACAGACGTTATGGAAAGGGTCGATGAGAGAGGGCGGTTTGATGAGGGCGGGAGATGTGGTATATCGTACCCATCGTGACGGCGATTAAGGATTACCGTTCATACATGCATGGAAAATGAGGAATCGCCTTCCTCGAAGGATCTAGTTGCTCTATTAATCTCTCTGGACATCTTTCTCTTTAAGTTCTTCGCAGCTCCTGCGAACGGAATTTCGCCGTGATCACTTGCCGAGTATCACGATGTGTATTCGCGGAGAGAATTCATTGCTTTTCATACCATATTCAGGCGATCTTAACCTGGTTCAACGCTGACCAAAGATTGCAAAAGTCCGAGTAATATCGAAATCTGATCCCCGGAGATTTATCTCTCCCTCGTTGATTGCCGGAGAATCGCAGGCCGAGTCGAACTCATGAGCTGACTCGCTCTCGACTATCCAATTTTCGTGAGTCTCGCAATGAAATTAAGTCGCGCTCGGATGAGAGTTCCACGAGAGAACTCCCGTCGACACAGCCTCCAAGCTTTCAATCTTCCGATCTTAGTGAGGGCGGCGATTCTCGTCGATGGGGAGCGGAAGCCACCCCGGCACTGAGAGCCTTCGCATACTCCGAAAAATCGGAGTTCGCATCAGTTGCTGGAGAGGACGACCATTCCGCCGCCCAAAAAGTCCAGTGAAAAACGCCAGGTTCTGAGGAACCGGAGAGAAACACCCCACCCTCAAGAGCTCCAATGGGGTCTCCATTATGCCGCAGATTCCCTGGAGGACTCCCCACGCCAGCAAGTCCATTGTGATGAGCCATGACCGTCATCGACCGCGGGCATTTATCTGGTTTCTCGGTTCGGGGCCGATACCGAAGATGCCGATTGCTTCGAAAGTGTTACTGATCGCCATGTTTGAATCATAGCAGACGCTTTCCTCCTCACCCCCTGTTCGTGTCTCTTCTACTACGGCTACGGGAGAGATCTTCAAATCCATCTCTAGAACTTCTAACCACCCAGCAATATACGATCATATACACCCAGGCGCGAGGCACGGCGTATAGCTTCACTGCCTCCTCAGAGAAGAACTCGACGATTACACAATGGCAACGAGTCATCCGCAAGTCGCTCTGGGGGCCGCCGGCAACCAAGCACGTAAGTTACTGCTCATAGCTCAAAGCATAGTGAGTTCAATAATTCTAAAAGCGGAATACTATCTCATCCTGAATTCGATTGGGAGGAGCGTTCGCTGTAGAGCTGCGCTCGTACGTTATTCACTCCAGGGCAGGTCCCTGCCGTAGAGACACTCGAATTCCTCATGAGAGGGAGAGAGTTTCCGGGGGTCTTACCGATTGCGCGAGATGTACATATCTCTCTGGAGCCGCCAATTGCAATTTCGAGGAAGGATGCAATCAGGAATCGTCGGTTCACCCTGATCATTATATTGAGTCTGACGACGCAATTCTAATCGCAATTCCTCTAAGAAGTAGGAGATGATCCATTCGCATCTTCTCCGAGAGAAATCCTGATGAAGATTGCGCTTCTACTCGATGATATTGACCTGTTGGCCATTGCGCAAGTATATCCTTCGTGGAGGAGTTTCCTGGTCGATGACTACGTGTGGCAGCGGAAATGCCGTCAGAGAAGATGGCAGCCGTCCCCCGAAACCGCAAGTGTCTTCAGAAGTTTCTACCATATACATATATGTATTCAGAGCTACTAGTGTTGAAGCTTCCCTCCCAAATCAATCATTCCGTATTTTCTGTGCAGCTCAGGGACAGCGATTCTCCTTGGAGAGAGACGTTTTTGGAACTAGTCCGGATTCACCGAAATTGGGATAGTGTTGCGGAAAAGCTCGTCGTCACAACCGGTCAAGAGGAAAGCAGAAACAGGGGTCGAGTTGTAGCGGTGGGATGCGACAAAGTTTTTACCCTCGGTGCCCGGAGGACTCTGAAAGCTTGGAGCGCCGTAACAGGTAGCTGGACACCTAGCAAGAACACATTCATTTTGGTGCCCCAGAGCGAGATGTCTGGCGGACCTCCGATGCTTCCGAGCCTCACAGCCTGTGCTCTGTGTTCGCAGGAGACTTTTGTTGGGAGCGGTGTATAGATTCCGATGACGTCATGCTGGGCCAGGTAATTTTCAATGTGGATTCCCCTCAAGGCAGAGGCTCAGTCATAGCTCCGGAAAATGGCAGAACTTTACAGCAATGGGACATGGGAGTCATCACGAGGGTCGCGGTCTATGGAACAAGGTGAGGACGAGGCTCATTCATGATCCGTATGACGCTCTCCGAGGTGGCACTTCGACTGAATCACCTTGCCTTTTCAGAGTCGTTTCGGTGAGCGACGAGGGAGAGTTCGGTCGTTTGTGCTTCTGGAACGCGAGTAGCGAGAGCTGCACAGCCTCGGTCCGTGTTCAAGATCACAGGCTCGATGCTCTCTTATTCGATGGCGAGACCGTGATCATCGTTTCCAGCACGGGCAACATTGAGCTGTGGAGTTTCTCGGCATGCATCCAGAAAGAATATTTCCCAAGCAAGGATTGGGCAACGCTCAAGTCGCTAGTTTTCGACGAGGTATGATCTTCACCGAAGGAGCCAAAGCACCGATCGTGCCGGGGCTTTGAGGACTTTGCTTTCCCAGTGACCATCGGTGCTTGAAGGATGTACATACACATCTTCGCGGCTTGGGCGAAGGATTCGCGAACTTTCTGTGGAACAGAAGACGCCGTTTATCGCGTCAGAGCTGTTCGAAAGGAAGCCATTCCCTCGTTTGCCGTGTGAGCCCCGGGTTGCATCGGGTCGACCCAGTTGATGCTAATCACAGAGTCCCTCTTGCAGGTGAAACTGTACATTTCCTTCAAGAATTGCGATTACATCCGATTGTGGTCAGTCGGGGAAGAGCATGAGACCGAGCTGGTGAAGTTCGAGAAAGATGCAGT